TTTCCTGCCTTTGAGGGGTCATACTTTTCTCGAAATCGGCGAATTCTCTCGCTTTCTTCACTACCGATGAACTATTCCCAATCTATTCTGCCGCTTTTCGAATTAAAACGGGTACCTCAAAATTATCGTGAACTATGCCTTTAATTTTATAAGATTTTTTATGAAACCTGTTACCAAAATGATAAATTGGTTCTTATCAATTAACGTTTCGGCGTTATCGCCTTCTTCAGAGTTTGGGAACGTGAAAATTATCGCTATCCATCCCTCATTGAACGTTTCAAAAATCGGTTCCCTATACCTAATGTTTCCAAATGGGCATGATAACCCTAAAAACACTTAACTCACCTGTTTTTAGGATTATCGTGCCCATTTGGAATTATTAGGTTTAGGGAACCGATTTCTAAAGTTGAATTGTTGACTGAAGGATGGATAGCGATAATATTTAGGTTTCAAACTCTAGTGAAGGCGATAACGCCGAACGTATTTATCATCTTGATCACATGTTTTAAAAAAAATCTTTATAAAATTAATTCGAAGCCATGCCAAGGTTCACTGAGAGTCGAACATGGATTCTTAGAGACTGCTGTATTCCCTGAGTCGTTCTCCTGTTTAATCAGTATTGGCACCAATCACCTGGCCATTCCGGATCGAATACTCCGTTGTCAAGTCCTTTGTCAAGTCCAATCTCCCCCAATATTCCTCCTAAACCACCCCTTCCCCACTCTCCCACCACTCAACTTATCAATAAGGTGAAAAACGCTACCATCCGTCCAGAGGCAATTCATCTAAACATCGTTTTCCCTGACCCGCTTGATACGTGAGGGGTTCCATCTATTTCTTACTTGTGAGCGCGTCGCGTGAAGGCTTCCCAGTGCAAGGGAGGAAAAGTGTACGAAGAAGAGTCAAGATCATCCGATTGGGATGTACCTAACTGCCTTTGCTGCTCATTGTAGGTGCCACTTGGGTTTTCGGCCGATAAAAAGGAAAATTATGGATGTTTTAGGGAGGTTTCTTCTACGGACACTAAAATTGGAATTTTCTTCAATCGACTTACACGAAGTCTCTCATTGTCCGACAAAATCATTTCGTTTTTTACATTTTCGAGTACAATGGCCTAAAAGGGCACCCACAGAAGGATGCCCTCTGATGGGTGTAATCCCGATGTAAAAGAGCGTCCTGCCATAAATATTGAGCCAACTAGCAATTTCGGAGGAATTTAGATGAAGGAGATGAGAGGATAAAGGGCTCGACCTGTTGGGATTTGCCATCGAAAATCCTATTAGAAGAGACTTTCTCGGATACATATATTGGAGTAACTTCAGCTTCATCCCCCGGATTACGTGGTGTCCTTAGTTCCCGACGTCGAGGGTGTATGAGGGTGATGGAAATATTGAATACTGAAAGGGTAGGGGTGTAAAAATATGTCACTAAAACTTTTTTGCCGAAAATCTTGGACCAGGTGTTTAGCTAACATGAAGGACACGAATGGCGAATCCCACGGGATGCCACAATGAAAAATAAACAAATAAACAAGATGGCAATCAATATAGATGGTTGCAGATGTATAGTTCTTCATTAAGAGCGACAGATCCGACTCCATATGGGATTGAACGGGGTCCATGACTTACGATTCTACCCTTACTTGTCCATATGGGCCCAGGCAAACCAAACCTTTCAGAGGGGTTTTTTGAGACGGCTAGTTAACACCAGGCCCCCCACCCCCACCGCAATCATGAGATAGAACTACGCTTCCAAAGCGCCGCTACGATTCTGAATGGGAGTCGGATGCGGGGCGCGCATCCAAACGGGAATGAATGAATGCCAAAAGAGATCATCTTGCTTGGAATCTTTTAGAATGGTGACTCGAGAAAGTTCAAGGCATTTATATGAACAATGGCTAGATCGATCATCCGGCCTTATGCATTTTAAAATGATTGTATGATCTGAAGGTGCTTATCGGATATCACATAGGGGATAAGCCGGCACCAAGAGTTCTCTGCTTGATCCTCTTAGGGATTGGCAGCTGTGGTGTCATGTCCTCGAGTGTGACACCTTTTTTTAGACTTTTTTCTTAGATTCCTCGAATCCGACCTCTTTTTTTATATTCCTCTCCTCTTCCTTTGTTCTCTGCTTGATGCTCTTAGGAATTGGCAGCTCTGATGTCATGTTCTCGAGAACTGCACCTTTTTTTAGACTCCATTTCTTAGGATCCTCAAATCCGACCTCTTTTTTCCAGTCTTCCCCTCCTCCTTCCTTTTTCTTCGAATCTAGTGCTAATCAGTTCCTGAGTAGATTACTCTACTGCGGACCCTCTTGGCTCAATGTTGATCGATAGCATCCTAGACACTTCGGGAAATTTCATCTCGTCTACCTGTTTTTTCGGTACTCAATGCAGATTCCCTGTGCTGATGTCGTCACAGCACTTATCCCGGTCTAATTTAATGTGCTGATACATGTGGAAACTGATTCTGTATGACAAGGGATTTGCACTTGCCCAGTAAAGGAGCTGGCAGACGGATAGAATTCTCCAGTGGTGAATGCCGTCATGAAGGGCATCATTAGTAATCGGATCATTTATCCGTCTACATCTGCAACCCCCCCCCCTCCTTCTTCTTTTAACAATGTCTGGAAGGGACTCAAATAGTCTCATGGCAGTAGGGTATGTAGGAAGTCGCTAGTGTTCTGGTAGAGCGCGCTAACGCCGATTGCTATCACTGTCTGGTTCGATCCCACCCTGACCAGATAATGGAACCAAGAGAATCATCCCTGAAGACTGTTTCCTTGTTCGGAAGCCCCTCGAGTGAGTGAAGAAGATTCTGTCAATAAGAGCCGAGGTCAACAAGTCCTCGAAAGCCTACAGTATCCCATTTTCGAACGTGACTTACTGGGTTTCCAGTGCGATTGCGACCATCTCCTCTTACGACCTTCCAATACTGAGTCTGAAGCTTGGCTCTAAATTTTATTCTAGTTGATTCCCATTTGCTAGTTGGCCAGGGTAGCTATAAACTATTCAAAGTCTTCCAAATGAGTGAGCGAGTGATTTTCTTCCAAACGAACTGACAGAACCCTATTTATGTACGTCCGGGTTCGAGTCCCAGCCTAGGCGGTAGGGCTTGCTCATCAGCATTCCTCTAGTGACTCTAATGAACTGTATGCCTTCCCCAAGGCACCACATAGTTCCCTACGCGATACGGTTTTAGTTAAAGTACCCCTACTTCAACATTCGGTTACCAGTTATCTCCTTTGAATTGTTTTTTTTTCTACTGGAAAGAGCGCCTACTGCAAACATCCCCTAGATAATTGCAAGTGGAGAGCAAAAAACCAAATAAAAACTCAAACGTTACCACATCACCCTCACGTGGTTCCGGGTCCCTTCAGACGGCCATTCATCCATATCGTGCAAACCGATCATGGGGAGTTACTACGTACGTGTTTGTAATATATTTCATGTCATTTCATTGACAACATAAAAGGACAGCCATTTGATGTGCGACGGACCGCTTCCGTTTCGGACCAATTGCTGAGTAATTACGTTCAGCCAATTGGTAGTGTCCCTTGAGACTAGACGGGCAGGTTGAGACTGCGGATCAGCCCTTTTCCGTGTGGTAGCTTCCTGGTTACACTATGACGGAACCAAGGGACTGATTGGTAACAACTACAAGTATAGGCCAGGCCTATGTCCTTAATAGAGGGCTTACCGGCTTGAAAGGAGAACTGACCTTTCAGGGCTCTGGAAAGCTTCGGAAATCTCTAGCTTTCCAAATTGAAGCTAATCAAGATCGTCCAATTAAAAAAATTGAGGGACCCAGAAAACCAGCCCTGAGCTAATGACCAAATAAAATTGATAGAGGTTGAATAGCATAGTATTGTATTATACAATACAACCTATTACATAGCTTTAAGCACTAACATCACATGTAGGTGGACAGCTCCTCGGGATTCATTGTAAGTAGGGAAGCAAGGAGTAAAAGAAACAAAAGGTTGAAAGATGAAGTGTAAGGATTAGGCACAAACTCATGAAGAGATAAGTCTTGGAAACAATCGATAAAATCAATCACTATTTTTATTTTATTTTTTTCATTTTTTAAATTTTTTTTCTATTTTTCAGATATGTATTCCCGGTGT